TTTTTTCTGAATGATTAGTTTTCTTACAAGTCTTACAACACTCAAGTTCTGTTTTACGATCTTTTGCCATGAGACCTATTTTATGGCAATTAAAGCATTTATATAATTTCCTCTTCTGTTATCCATATTCTTAGATGTGTGTGCTAAATGTCTTGTCTTATCGCATTTTCGATATTCCTTTTCCTCTGCCTTAAGTGCTATCGCTTCTTCATTATCCCTCAAAATTTCCAGCTCCTTCAATTAAGAGCTTTGCTAGCAGGTTAGTCAGTGTTCTCTCAACTGTGGGCAACGATTCCCATGCACTTATAAAATAGCGGCAATTCTCTGGTAACGCTGTTAAAACTTTTGATATCGTCTCATTAATCTCCTCACCTAGGCCCTTGAGTTTGAGAGATATATTCTTTATATCTAATATAAAGGTAGCTATATCAGTCTCGTCTTTTTTTTCGTATGAGAAAAATTCTTACGCCAGATTGTATTTTTGCTGCTGTGGGTGTCTTTCATAAATACTTTTCAATCTTTGCGACATATCATGCGCATTTTTACATGTAACTATACTTATTAAGGATTGTTTCTCAAATAGTATCCATTGTTCTTCTCACCTTCGCAGCTTTACTTTTCCACTCTGGAGTTTGCATAATTCCTTCCGTTTGCTTAATTTCCACGACGGTTATACTTGGTTAACTTTTAATTCCTTAATGCTTTCAACGAAATTACATTACTTGTTGCNGATGTGCTGTTGAGAATAACCATCCAGAGAGTGCTGACCTGCTTTTAACAGACATTGTCAAATATGATAATCAGAAAGTAGTACCTAATGAACAACTACTTCACTATGCTGCTAGCAGAGATGACATAGAAATGATTAAACTGCTTATAACCAAAGGCATTTCTGTGGATGTTACGAACGAATTTGGTTGGACGCCCCTTCAATGTGCAGTCATGAATAACCATCTAGAAGGCGTTCAGTTACTTTTGTCCTACGGAGCTAACGTCGATGCTAAAGATAACGATGGTCATACTGCGATTCATCATTCAATTATGGAAGGTAACCAAAACATTGCCAAATTACTTCTACAACACAAGACTAATATTTCACTGGGCAAAAATGACAAGAACACGCTGCAGCTTGCTATTGACGACCAATATTCCATTGCTATCGATAAGACATTGCAAACAGTATATTTTTGTTTCAAGAATAAAAAGAATGGTCTTAGAGACGCTGTATGTGGACGCGGTAGGAAATGTGAATTCATCGTTAAATCTTTTTTGACATATGGTATTGTACTTAGTCCAGAGGATGTAAATGATAGCGAATTAGTATGCGCTTCTGTGGAGAAGGGACACATCAAGATTGTCAAGAAGTTATTGGAACTTGGTGCCGATGTTAATCAGTTACACGAGAATGCAATTTTTAATAAAAGTACTACATTGTTACACATGGCAGTAATAACGAAACAGAGGGAGATGGTAGAACTATTAATAAACTATAAAGCTAATGTAAATGCTCTAGATGAAAGAAATTTTACTGCGATGCATGAGGCTGCTCTAAATGACGATTTAGAAATAATGGAACTACTTATGGATAACGGTGCCAGGATAAAAGATCAGTACAAATTATTGTGTATTGCTGCTGAAACGGCTTCTAAGAAATTTGTTGAGCTGCTTTTGCAGCACGATATCAATGTTAATGGAAAAAATACAGATGGTACCACGGCCATACATTCATGTGTTCTCCGTCATCCCATTAATTATGAAATCCTTAAGCTTTTGATCGACAAAGGAGCTGATATTAATGCAAGAAATAATTATCGTAGAACGGCGCTTCACGAAGCCGTCCGAGCCAAAAACGTAAAAGTCGTCAAGCTTCTGTTGAACTGTAACGCGGATGTTAACAGCGAAGATGTAGACGGTACGACACCGCTTTTTGACTCTACGGTACGCGGAGCAGTGGAAATTTGTGAACTACTCGTGAAGAAAGGTGCAAAACTGAATATCAAGAGATATAAAAGACCAACACCGCTTCATGTTGCTGCTTCGATAAATAATCTGGATATCATGAAAATTCTGTTACGGTCAGGTGCCGATGTAGATTGCGTCGATGAATGTGGAAACACTGCGCTTCATCGTGCTTCTATAAGATCTCACTACGATATCGTTGCGATCCTTCTAAGATACGGTTCTGACATCAACATCGTTAACCAAGAGAACCGTACAGCGTTATATTATACATTAGAAGAATCACTTCACATTCTTGTGCAACACGTAATAATATTGCGGGTTGCTAAGTTATACGTTCATGCTTCAAACATAGCTGAGTCTGAAACTGCGATTAACGATAAACTGAGATTTATTAATTGGACAAAATATGAGGAAGAATGTAACAAAGAATTGGAGAGAATGAGAAGGGAGAAAATCAACAACAGCAACATTTCCTTTTATGATATTCTGAAAGTAAGCATAAATGAATTCGCGAGAAATAAAGATGTTGTCAAGTATTTAAAACTAAACAACTGCGAAACGGACTTCCCTCTTTATGGTAGTATGATAAACAATCGTTTCAGATGGGGTGTGGAAAGAATTAAGTGGATGGATGAGAGCGTTCGAGTTTGTCAAAATCTATTCAACTACTGTCTGGTTGATAGAATGTTACCCTATATTTGCATCGAAAAGATATTTAGCTATTTGAGTAACGACGATCTGAGGATTCTGGTAGACGTATGTAAAAATGTTAAGAACCCAAATGAAATGTAAACAATTAGGCTAATATTAGGGATCATATATTGGAGGAGTATATAATGCAGGTGGAAGAGAGAGAAATGAAAGTAGTGCATGAGAGAGTGATAGAGATTTTGGATGGAAAAGGGGCAGGAATAGGATGGGTAAAGGAGTGGTTAAAGATTAGAGATGGAGAGGAGGATTAGAACAAGAGGAAAGATATGAATAAGACGATA